TTTCTCTCTCCCAGGGATCAAGGGTTTGGGAGCAGACAACAGGTGGTGTCCTCTGTAGTTTATATACTGCCTACCTGGAGATCCCACAGTGGTCTACAAGAGCTAGTTCCAGGACAGGCTCCAAAACCAGAGAAACCCTGTCTCAAAAAAACAAACAAACAAACAAAAAAAAAGTGGGGAGCATGTAGGTGGCTGGAAGAGGCAACGTTGGGAGTCACCATGTATAGATGATTAAAAAATTCCGAAAGAGGGCTGGAGAGATGGCTCAGTGGTTAAGAGCATTGCCTGCTCGTCCAAAGGTCCTGAGATCAATTCCCAGCAACCACATGGTGGCTCACAACCATCTGAAATGAGGTCTGGTGCCCTCTTCTGGCCTTCAGGCATGCACACAGAAAGAATGTTGTATACATAATAAATAAATAAATAAATATTTTTAAAAAAAATTCCGAAAGAGCAGAGAGGTGGTGGTACATGCCTTTAATTCCAGCACTCGGGAGGCAGAGGAAGGCAGATCTCTGTGAGTTCGAGCCCAGCCTGTTCTACAAGAGCTAGTTCCAGGGCAGGAACCAAAGCTACAGAGAAACCCTGTCTCGAAAAACCAAAAAAGAAAAAAAAAAGCCTGAAAGAAGCCAGACATAATATCACATGCCTGTTTTCTCAGTAGTCAGAAGGCAGAGGCAAGAAAGTCACTGAAAGTTCAAGGCAAGACTAAGCTAAGTAATACAGCCAGAGCTACAAAGCAAGACCCCACTCAACAGCAAAGAAAGAGCCTTGAAACAGGATGAGATGGTGTGAGAAGCAAGTACGGAGACCCATGCTTGAGGGTGGAGGTCCCTAGCTGAGGCTGTGAGGAGGAAGCAGAAAAGGACGTGGTCCTAGAGCCAGCACCAGTGACTGTTGAGCAGTTAGTGCTCAGAGAGCAGGGCGGTAGGGAGGTACAGCAGCAGGTACAAGGCAGGTACACGGCAGGGACCATGACCTTGTGAAGGGCAGTTCTGTTGAGCTGCTGGAAGCAAGCATGGCTGGAGAACAGGTGGAGAGGCCAATGCGAAAGGCAGGCAAGTGGGGTCAAGATTCCGGCTGGTCAGAGATCAAAATCAGTCTCCAAGGTAATAAAGCAACCCAAAGAGCCATTGCTGGGGCTGGAGAGATGACTCAGAGGTTAAGAGCACTGACTGCTCTTCCAGAGGTCCTGAGTTCAATTCCCAGAAACCACATGGTGGCTCTCAACCATCTATGAGGAGATCTGATGCCCTCTTCTGGTGTGCAGGCAAAATACAGACAGAACACTATACAGAATAAATAAATAAATCTTAAGAAAAAGAAAAGATAAAAAGAACCATTGCTGTCTGGCTGAGGCTACTGCTCCCGAGATCGGAGGGACCAATGACAAAAAGCAGGTAAAGCTGCAGGTTTTGTTCTTGTTTTCTCTCAGTTTCCTCTTCACAGTGAAAGCCTGGGAACATGTCATGACTAGGACAGCCACCAGTTGGGCACAGCAAGCACCTTTTGCACGCTGCCTGAGGACCCAGGTTGCTAGGAAGTTGTCAAGTTTCCACCAGACCCCTGCAGGGCAGGTACAGAGCCTGCCTGGTGTCCTAGGAGGCCCCTGACGAAGTGGTGGAGCAGGAGACTGAGCTGAAACAGTGGGGGGAGGAGGGGAGGGACGCTGTGGTGGCGTCACTAGGAGCAGACACAGGCTGCGGATTTGGCTTCAGGGGCCTCAACTCACTGGACACATGACCTTGGAATGAAGCCTCTTACAACTTATGTAAAATCTCTGTCAGCTGAAACAATGGATCGGTGAGAAAAGCACTTGCTAGATCAGCATGAGGACCTGAGTTCATATCCCCAAAAGCCATGGAAAACTGGCCATAGCATTGTGAGTCTAGGAATCTTTAAAGCATGAAAGGCAGAGTCAGGAGACACCCTGGAAACTGGCTGGCCAGCTGTCCTGGAGTGCACAGTGCCAGGGACACAAAAAGGAAGGAAAAAGAAAAAATATAGATGTAGTAGTGCATAGCTTTAGGGAAGCAGAGGAAGCCCATCTCTGTAAATTTCAGGCCGGCCTAGTCAGTGCAGCAAGTTCCAGATCAAGCAAGCGACATAGTGAGACTCAGTCTCAAAAGAGAGAGAAAGAGACTTTGGCTCAAACAAGGTAGTCGGTGAGAACCAATACCCAAGGTTGTCCTCTGACCTTCAGATGAACACAGGGGTGCACAAAAGCACAAGTCATACATTATACAAAGATTTTTAAACTTCTACTACATTTGTTTATTGGGGTGGGTTGTACATGTTCCACAGTTGATGTGTGGAGGTCAAAGGATATTTCTAGAAGTTGGTTCTCTCCTTCCGGGGATTGAACTCAAGTTTTCATGTCTAATGACAAGTGCCCTTAACAACTGAGCCATCTTCCTGGCCCCAAATCAAAAAGAAAACAATGGCTTTTTAGATCTCGGTAGTAAGGATAGTTTTGCTCTTTGACCTTTCTCCAGAGCACACACAGGATTGTGGAAGTCACAGCCTGAAGGTCAGGAATTTCCACACAGAAAGGAGCTATGTGTAGCTGCTTACAGCAGAAGGTGTTTGTGGCTTTGAAATCATGGCTCATTTTCTGGGCGCATGACATTCTCCAGTGGGGCTTTGAGAGAGCCTCTTTGACAACAGCCACTTTGAGGTGGTGGTTTTGATGTAGGATCATCGTGGTGATGGTTCAACCTTATGCATTAAAATTAAAAAATGACTCACTGGTGTAGAAAACTGCCGACCTGTTCTGTCTCTGAATGGGGCCAGAGGAAGTGGTGAGGGCCAGCAAGGCGATATGGGTTGGAAGGGATAAGGCCAAGGGTGGGGGCTTAGGCACCATCTGCCAGACAAGACGTCATGCGAGTGCCACAACTGTCTGTGGTGGAAAGGACACTGATCATCCCGAGAGAAGTGTCTGCTCAGTCCTTAAGAATTGGCTTGAATCTTGGCAGGATGACATCTAAAATTATCTCTTTCTTAAAGTTAAAAGACCTTATGTGTGTGCTGAGCTGGGGGAGGGCGGGGAATGGAGAGGCAGATATTTAAACCACAACACGGCCCTTTATTCTCCGCTCTAGGCTGCACAGGAAATCCCTAATTAGACGTGTGACAGTGTCTCAGAATCTCTAATGATACACATACATTACAGTTCACATTACAAAGGTCCCTTTGAGTGATGGCTTCGGGGAAAGGGCTAGATGATGAGCCTACTTATTACTGATTTTTTTTAATAACTTGCACATTTCCCCCCAGTTATAAAAGTAACAAAAGAAACTATGATAGTTGGAACATTCTGTAGCAGAGACATAACCAAGCAGTTATTTTACTATTTGTATTGTAGATATCAGACTCTTAGAAAGCCTACAGAGCCTGAATCTTCTGGGTTTCCACCTTTATCCCACTTATTGCTCCATTTCATCCACAGGACAGCCCTGTGATGCCACCAGAGTCTTCTGTTGGGTCACTTCACCAGAAAGTGAGTCAGGTTCACATGGCTGGCTATAAGGTGGAAGGGTGCATGGCCCCATCACCAAGGGCAGCCACTTATGTCCCAGATTCTGATAGACTCCCAACTTCCTCCTCCTCTGGGTTTTGATATCTCAGACAGCACATCTGGTTGGGAACCCATGGGCCACCTTGCAGTTAGAGGAGGGAGTATGATATCTGTTGCTTGCTTTCTTTATTGTTTTTGAATGTATGCTGTATTATCAGAACTCAGAGAGGAGTGTGGCTTTATACTGCAAACAGGAAATGTCCACTCTTCCTCACCTCCCCACCTAACTCTGTCCAAAAGGATCATAGCTGGAAGTGTCAATCATGTGGGATGCTCTTGTGTCTAGGCATGCTATGTACAGCATATATGTAGAGAAATTACCCCTTATCTGGTTTCATTTGTCATTCTTTTAGTAACCATAGTCAACTGCTGTCTGGAAATATTAAGTGGAGAATTCCAAAGGCAAACAGTGTGTAAGCTTTCAACTGCACACCGTGCTGACTATTGCCATTCAATCTTGTGGTGTGGCTCCATCTTCCCAGGACAGTGATCACCCCTTTGTCCTGTGAATCCACTCTGAATACTCTGCTCACCCATTACTCCCTGGGAACCTGGCTGAGCAGATCAGCAGCCACAGGACCAATGCCTGTGTTCAGTTAACCCCACAGCACAGTAGTGATGCAGGAAGTTCAGGTATGCAGCGAAAGGCTGAAAAGCAATTCATTTAAGAAAAAGGGTGAACATTCGCAATTTAAGAAAAGGGGGAAATTGTCTGCTGTGGTTTGCCAAGATCTACAGAAGAGCAGATCCTCCATCTGCAAAGCTGTGGAAAAGGAAAAAGAAATTGGTGCGAGGTTCCCTGTCACACTTCAGAGTACATAAGTTACAGCCATGGTGTGTGACAAGAATTTAGTTGTGAAAAAGGTATTATGTTATATGATTCAATACTAGCTGCAATTACAGGCGTCCATTCAGGATCTTGGAATCCGTTAAGAGATCACACACATGCGCGCACACACACACACCCTCTCCCTAGTCTTCAGGCTGGTGCCCCCATCAGTGTGTTGACATTGGCTGTCTGTACAGTTCACTGTGTAGAGACTCAGTTTGTTCTCAGGATTGACCTTAACTGTCTTCCCACTTCCTATCTTGTCTCTATGGGTCATGATAGAATTGCAAAGAGTTCCTTCTTCACCTTGTTCCTTCCCTGCCTGTGTGCCCAGGGCAGATCCTAACAGGCTGACAGACGGTGTAGCTGGTTAGGATCTGCATTCCAGCAGGCTCCTTGGGTGGTTGGTCCAGCCAGCATGGAGACCCACACTCATGGTGCCCCATCAATTGGTGCCTTCTCATCCCTTACTGGACACCACCCTGGCCCTGCCTATACCCAGCCCCTCTCCTCGTTCCCCTTTGAGCATTCTGTAGGTTGCAGTAGAACCAAATACACCTCTAACTCCTGCCCTTCCCCTTGCCTTGCCAGGAGGCTGGTAGAGAAGTTCTCCATATCCGTGCAGTTCATTTCGCCAGTGCATCCAGGTGAAACTGTATTTTTGCAGAGACGTTACCCTTTGCCTTGCATCCTGGACTCCTCCAGTCTGAAGCCACACAGCCAACTGGAAGAGCTGTTCCTCAGGTGAGCATGCTGAGCTGGCTATTTTTATGTCAACCTCACACAAGACAGAGTCATTTTGGAACTTCAGTATTGCCACCGGATTGGCCTGAGGACAAGTCTGTGATGCATTTTCTTGATTGATAATTGATGTGGGAGGGCCTAGCCCACTGTAAGTGGTGCCACCCCTGAGCAGGTATTTCTCACGACTATCTAAAAGCAGGCTAAGCAAGCCATGGGGAGCAAGCCAGTAAGCAGCACTCCTCCATGGCCTCTGCATCAGCTCCTGCCTCCAGGTCCCTGCCCTGTGTGATTCCTACTCTAACTTCCCTCAGTGATGGACTGCTACCTGGAAGTAAAGATGGAATAAACCCTTTCCTTCCCAAGTTATCATGGTCCTAGTATTTTATCACATCGAGAGAAACTCTGAGACACATCGGGGAGTAGAGGGAATAGTGTGGTCTGTCTCAGAGACAGGGGCCACCTCAAATAAGGAAATCCAAAGCAGTGTTTTGAATAACATGAATATGACACCTTTTATGAATAGAGGTAATTATATTAATTTTCTGTTTTCAATAATGATAATTGAAAATCAAACAGACTGGCCATCATGAAGGGAAGTCAAGGCAGAAGCTCAAGTAAGAACCTAGAGGCAGGAACCTACACCAAGGCCATGGAGAAATGCTGCTTACTGGCTTGATCTCAGGCTCATTTATGTTTAGCTGTCATTGTTATAGAAACCAGCCTTGCCTGCCTAGGAATGGTACTGCCCACAGTGACCTGGGGCCTCTTTCATTAATTAGCAGTCAAGAAAATGCCCCCACAGACATGCAAAGAGGCAACTCTTCAGCTGAGTGTCCAGCTTCGAAGGAGTGTCAAGGTGACAACCAGGATTATCTGACACAGTAACGTAGGCATGCATGTCTACTTAGAAAATTTACTAATTTAGTTATATAAACTCTTTTTTATTTGAGAAAGGGTTTCTCTTTGCAGTTTTGGCTGTCTTGGAGTTCACTCTGTAGACCAGGCTGGCCTTGAACTCACAGAGATCTGCCTACCAAGTGCTGTGATTAAAGGGGTGTGCCACCACTGACCAGCTATAAACTCTTATTTTAAATTTAAAAAAGATTTTTTATTTTAATTTATTGTGTGTGTATGTATATGTATGAATGTATGCTATGTGCATGCAGTACCTGAGGAAGCCAGGGGGGGGTATTGGATTCCCTGGGGCCAGGAGTTGTAGGTGCTTAGAACCACATTTGGGTCCTCTGGAAGAGCAGAATGTGCTCTTTACCACTGAGACCTTTCTTCAGTCCCTGGATGTATACATTTCCTTGAAAAACTGTCTATAGTATACACCAGGCCACGCGTTCACATGTTCATAATGCCTTTTCCTCCCCCAGTATTCCAGTTGTATAGAACAACCTGAGTCAGACTCGTCGCACATGGCCTGGGGATCTCAATTAGCACAGGGCCAGTGTCCCGATCACTCCCACCTATAACAGGGTCCCTTTTCCATAGTTATATCTCATGCAGTTTCAATTACCTGTGACCAACCTTGGTCTGGATATAATAAATGAGCAAATCCAGAAATAATTTGTAGGTTTTTACATGTTTACCATTCTGAGTAGAATGTTGGAATTTGTGCCATCCTGACTCCATCAGTTTGGAGTGCGAACCTTGCCTTTGTCTGGTGATCTTCACTGGGCATGCTCCCCACCCATTAATCATCAAGTAGCCAGCTCCATTCTCAGATTGATCCTCAAAGTATGGAAGAGCTTGTAGTCAAGGAATCTCTTCTCTTCTTAGTGACTGTAGAGCATAGGTGCAGTGCTAGTCAGAGTTCAGACAGGCCAAAGAGAAGCCATGATGCTTCCTCTAAGTCAAAAGGTGTAAGTTCTTGACTTTAGGAAAGAAAAGCATTATATACTGGGGTTGCTAGGGTTGAAGGGCTGTAGTTGGCTCAGTGGTTAAGCGTGTACACTGCACCCACGTGGGGCAACTCACAGCCATTGGTAACTCCATTCCCAGGAGCTATGACACCCTCTCCTGGACTACACAGGCAACTGTGCGCATACCCACACACAGACACACATCGTGTAGCAGTTAGTACCAGCCACCATTTTGGTCATCTACTGGGAATCAATGGATCAGATCCCGCACAAACAGTGAGGGACTAGTATATTTGCTGGGGATACTGTCTTCGGTCTGTGTGCCATCAGTACTGGAAAGTTTGTCCCCGCCAGAAGCAGGCTTGATAACAATAGGGACAGCTGCCTTGCTCCTCCTCTTCTGGGGAGTAAATTCGTGCTCATTATCACATAATCACTGAAGAATTGTTCTGGAAGGGGATTTTTAAACAGTTTACCACAATCATGCCCAACACTTGGCAGTTGTGAGCTCATGTCCAAGAATATAAGAGAAAGATAAAGAGAATTTAGAGCAGTTGCCTTCTGCCAGATAACACCTACGGGTTGGTGGCTGTGGTGGAGGCCAAACGGATGGAGAAAGGACCACCGTGACCCACGCACTTCAACCACAGCATGAGCTTGATTTTGTTAGTTCTCAGTCCATCTCTGCTTTAAAGATTACCAGTAACATTTAGATGTTGCTGTTTGAGATATATATATTACACACATGTGTGCACACACACATAAGTCTACATACTTCAGGCAAAGCACTGACTCATAAATAAATATGTATGTATTCATATATATGAAGATAAATATGAGTGAATATTCTGCTTGCAGTGTTATGTGCTTCCCTGGTGCCTTGGAAAGTCAGAAGAGAACACTGGGTCCCCTAGGACTGGAGTTAGGGATGGTTGTGTGCCACTGTGTGAGTGCTGGGGATCAAACCCAGGTTCTCTGCAAGAGCAGCAAATGCTCATAACCGCTGAGCCAGCTCTCCAGCCCCCTGTAAAGGTCTCTATTCTGGAAGGCCGCAGGCTTGTCTGAGGGTGGAATGAGCGGTGTGACCTCCACATTCCCGTTCCTCAGCTGCAGCAGAGGTGTTTTCTCTCTGTTCCTGCCTGGCAACATAGCATTCTGTTTGCAGATGCTGTTGCCCCTAAACAGAGTAGCTTTTCATCCATATCAGTCAGTGTTCAAATTCTGATTGTCTTATGTGTGTGGGGTCAGAGGACAGCTTTTAGGAGTCGGTGTCTGCCTTCCACATGGGCCCTAGGACCTGAACTCTGTAGTAGACAATGGCAGCGAGCACTGTCTCCATAAATGTTTAGAGATGGTTCTGATTGGTATCAGAACAAAGTCAAAAAGCTACAATTTCATTGTATGATGCTGTCATAAGTAGTGATATGTTGCTTCGATGCCCTAACATAGCCATTTTCCTAGATTTTTGAAAACACGCATTCTTATCAGCTCCTCTGTTATCAATAGTGTGTCAGTGTCTAGAAGGTGTGAGCGCATGAGGTGTGCATGTGACCCCTGGTAAAGGTTCACCTTGCCATCGTAGAAAGGGTGAAAGGGAGAAGGAAGGAAGGAAGAGGGCGACAGGCAGAGGAGCAAGGAAAGCAGCTGGCTGGGAGTGGGCCGACATGGCTGGGTATCTGGGTGTAGGAGAAAGGAAGGCTGCCTTAGCACGGGGTGGGGGAGGGGAGGGTGGGGGGCACCATCAGCGTATTTCTGCCTGTAACAGGCTGGCTGGTGGCAGGAAGTGTTTGACAGATGAGATGGCCCGTGGAGCTATGATCTGGGATCAGAGCTGCCCTGCCAAAGGGAGCCAGGTGGCTGCCCAGCTTCCCTAGAGGAAGAACTCGGACCTTCCTCCTCCCTCAGATATGCTAATGAACAAAGGCCTTGGTGCTGGCAGTGTCTCAGCTCAGTGGTGTTGAATCTTACTTTGGTTTCTAGAGGTATGCCCTTGTGTGACAGCCCAGCAAGGGGCTGGACACTGGGTAGGGGCCACCTCCTTGGACCTTCTTTTGTTTCCTGATTATACATACCCAAGTCTTCAAGTCTAGGCGTAAGAGTGGGAGCAAAAGCCAAGCCATCCCATCATGATCCTATGATATTGGTCAGAAAGAAACATGACCTTAGAAGAAAGTTCAAGATTACAAGACTGCCCCACATACCTTCAGTCCTGGGCCACTGAGTGGCTCAGCAGGAAAGGCACTTGCTGCTAAGCCTGGTGACCTGAGTTTGATCCTTGAACCCGCAGTGCAAGGAGAGAATCAATCCCCAAGAGTTGTCCTCTACCTCTGCCTGTGAACTGTGGTACATACACATATGTATTCACACATCACACACACATGCATGTACAGGAGCATATGCGTGCACTCGGTTTAATGTTTTGTGAGCCAACAAGTAAGTTTTCAGGTTGCACTCTTGCATTTTTCAAACCTTTTGTGGTTGGGAGGTATGGTGGTGGTCCTCAGAGGAGGGGACGTGGGTGCCGCTGTTTTAACAGTCTCCTCTTGAGGAGCATTGCCTCTGAACCTGCCATGAAGGGAGAACATGTTCCTGTCAGCAAGATGAAGCGTGCCAACCCTCTGGAGTGACAGGGCAAGGGCTCCAAGTCTGAGGGTCCTCGTGCAGATTCTCGGGTTCTTGTGCAGAAATGCTGCCCCAGGTCCCACCATGCAATTAGAGCTTCCCCAGAGTACCCTCCCTTGTCTATCACCAGGTCGACTGACATATGACCTCGGATCGGATCCCTGGAACCCAGGTTACATGCCTTAATGCCAGCCATTGGTTCCTAGGATCCCAGAAGCCAAACCTTGTTTCTTCCTTCATTGACGGAAGTTGAAAGGAAATGTGATCTTTCCAAATAGGGAACTGGAAGGGCATCAGACTAGATGGAGGCCCACTTGCCGCATAGCTGAGGCCTACTCCCAGGAGCATCAGTCTCTGCAGTGCTCACTCGTGTGTGTGTGTGTGTGTGTGTGTGTGTGTGTCTGTCTGTCTGTCTGTCTGTCTGTCTGTCTGTCTGTGTATGCGCCTGTGTGTCCCTTTTTGGTGTGAGGGCACACAAGCTCTCAGGAAGCCTAGGTGCAGCCTGAGCTGTTCCTCTGAATATTGCAGGACTGGGAGGAAGCAGGAGGTGGGGATGTCTGAACTTCTCGGCTTATGTGGCATACAGTGCCTACCTACATTAACCCGGGACCCCGCAGCTCAGGCTCCTATTTTACTGTGTGCACCTTTCCAGGAAGAGGGTGACAGGTTAAAGCCAGCCATGGAATGTGGACCATCCTGCTGACAGTAGGTGCCCCCAGAATGAAGGGGAAACTGCAAAACTGGGCCACTTTTCTGGCATCCCTAGGCATCTAACAGGGTGGTATCACATTCTTCTCTTTAAACAAAGAAGAAAAGCGGGGCACAGGCAGACATTTCTACCGTTATTCATTCTACTCCATTTGGGCGTTTTATTGAAATTTTGCATCTGAAAACTTGGCAAGGGCCCAGGAAGTGATACTGTATAAATAGTTCCCCGTGGTGTTTATCCTTCTGCTGTCACTGGGATTCGCGTGGCATTTAGAGACTCTTCCCATTGGGACTGCTGCCCATAAAGTGGACTTGCAGGCAGAAGCTGGAAGCCTCTCCCCTTGGGCAGTATCAGGGTCAGACATTCCAAGGAGGCTGCAGCTTTGTTCAGCAGCCCACCATGTGAACCAAGCTGGTCCCCCATTTGCTGTCTGCTGGCTGTCTTTCTCCTTGTTTGGCCGACTTCCTGCCTCCCTCCCTTCTGTTGCAGCCGGCGGTGAGGAAAAAGATATCTGCCCTCTGTCATAGCTGTGATGGCTGGGGATTAGCCGTGCATACAGTGTGGCTGTACCCTGTCCCTCTCCTTTCCAGCCACAGCTAAGGGCCTTCCATGGGACCTTTCCTTCACTGGCATCCTGGGGATGACAGCTGGGAGCTTCATGCTCAGCCTGGACTGTGTGGCATTTGCTATCCCTCCCTTCTCTAGAGTCCTCTAACATTCTCAAACTAACCTCTGACCTCAGCATTGGTAAAGGTATGAGCTAGGACCCAGCATCAGTGTTCTTTTTTATTTTGGGTTTTTGTTAATGTTGTTTAATTTTTTTATCATGTGTGTGTGTGTGTGCATGTACATGTGCGTGGATGTGTGAACACAGCACACCATACCATGCTCACGGAGAACAAAGATCAGCTTTTAGGAGTCAGTTCTCTTTCTACCATATGGGTCCAGGGATCAGAATCAGGTCGTCAGGACTGGCCTCGAGAGCCTTTACCAGTTGAGCCGTCTATCTGGCCCAATGTCAGCATTTTTGGTGTGGAGATTGGACACTGGCTTTTGACTCTGACAACTGACTGTGTCATCTAAGGTTTTCGAGTTTTCATGACACACCTTCCTTCCTTTTTGTTCCAGGCCTCCCTGACCAGGGATGTTATGGGGCCTGTGCTTCCTCTTGAGGGTCAGGCCAGTGTCTGCTCTAGGCCCTGTGTCACTGTGACCAGCAACTCCCCTCACATCCAGTGAGCCACACTTGGCTCATTCCCCAGTCTCATCTCACTCCTTGCATCTCATTTAGCTGGAGACCTAGGATGCCTAGAAAGCCATTTGCTGCAGTACACCGTGGGTAAGGCCTTCCCTGGCTCCCTTGCTCCTTGCCTGATGGATGAAATCAACCTTGACAGGGATGAACTGCAGGCAGCTCTTGTGGAGCAGAAGGAAGACACCGCGACACTCCCTCCGTGTGGCAGTTGAAAATGTGTTGCTCCAGGCCAGCAGGGGCTTGTGCAGTTGGCTTCCCCACTGAGCAACTGGCAGAGTGCCCCACCCCAGAAGCATGCCAGAGCCAGTGTCTCCCAGAATCCCTTGCTTTGCAGTGGCCTCGACACTTGCCTCTTAGCAGATCCTGCCAGTATGTAAAACTCTGATTTTCTTTGCTGAGAGTGCTGTTCCTTTGGTTGCATCAAGAAAGCATCCTTGTGACAGGCACCTGGGACAGAACTGGTAGGACCTGTACACACACAGGACCGTGTTTCAGAGTGGTTAACCTGTCGTGACCACAGGAACAATGTCTCTTTCTCTTCTAGATTTAAATTACTTTAGAGATATATAATTTGTAAATGGTCAGGACAGGCTCAGAGTGACGGCAGCTTGGCTCAAGGGAAAAATCTCGGTTTCAGAGCAGTCTGTTCCTGGCAGATGGCAGTATGATGTCCTTTTCAAAACAGTAGTAGAACAGGGAGGGCTGACCGAAAGGATCGGGACACATGATGTTATCTGAATATTTTCTTCATGGTTTCATTTCCTGGAATCCAAGTGGCCATCTTTGGACTGTTTTCTAAAAAAAAAAAAAAAAAAAAAAAGGCACAAAAAATGTGTGGAGGGTGGAGTACCTTACCTCACACCCAGATTCAAGTGACCAGGGACTCAGAAAGTGACTGAGTCCAACCAAGCCTTCTAAAGTTTCTTCCAAAGCGCTAAAGCTGCACACAATGGACTGGAACATCTAACTACCCTATTTTGTTTTCTGAAGACCCGGGGTCCTGAAGGTCAAGGTGCCTGCCAGAGCTTAGCTTCCAGCCAGCAGCCTGCTTCTGACAGGATGCAGGAGCTCACACCTAGGTTCTGGTTAGAGCCACGTTACTGACCTGAGCACACATGTGCACTCCCGGGACAGGTGCAGCCGGCCCACACAGTCTGAGGAAGGCTTCATGGAATCTTTGCTGGGTATTTCCTTCCCAGAACCCAGTCCCGGGCTCTCTGTGTCATTTTCCCATCCTCTCAGGTGTCCCTTCTGTGTCAGAAAACACAAGGTGAGGCGGAAACACCGTATAACTAGACCCACAGACACAGATGCCCACGGGGAATTCTGTCCGCCCCTTGCAGCTGAAGCCCCAGAAGGAGCCTCAGACAAGGATGCCTGACCCCTGGTTTCTCCCCTTGCTTGGTCAGGATCCTTGCTTTGGTTTCCCACTTTGTCACATAACAGGGGCAAATACTAATCAGGGTGGTTTTCAGACACCATGAAGTGTGTCTGTGGGAAACTCTGGAGACAACAGCCTGTTCTGACAATATCATCAGTAGGGGTTTTTTCCCCTTCCCATGGTGTCTCATGCCAAGGATTCTAAAAGTACATTTGTCCTTAATGTGCCTATAGGCTTCATGCTATCCCACAGCAAAGGTGAGTCCCGCAGCGTCACTGAGACCAGCTTGCTGAGCTGGTGCTGCCAACTGGAGCTACTTACCCTAACCTGATTGCCCTGGCCCCACAGGTCCTCACTGCCCCAGCAGCTCTCCTTCCTGCACCAGGGCCTCCTGAGCAACCTCTACCTGCATGCCTCTGATTACCCGCGACCTCTGCTCCAGTGGCTGTTCCAGGTGAGAAACACAGACCTGCCGCTAGGTGGCGGGAATGATGCAGCCCTATAGCCCAGGCAGGCCCAGGGGTCAGACTGACGATGCTTAGCTGCTTTTTGCTTTGGATAGTTCAGATCCAGGGGATGGAGGAAGGCTGATGAGGATTAATCCTCACTATAATGCTAAAGATGCCAAGGTCCTGGAGGTGGAGAGGCCCAAATAAGTCCAAAGATGGAGCCTGGAAGTTCTCTGTGCAGCAACCCCAGTCTCTGTGCCTCTAGAGTGTTCCAGAGCTACCTACAGGGTGAGGGGTGTGTCTTTCCTGAAGTGCTTAGAACCGAGTGATTGGTTCCATTCTAGTCAACAAGAGCGTCCATCATAACACCACCTTTCCCCCATTGCCCGCCCCCCACTCCTGCTGCCACAGTCATGAATGGCTCATCCCAGGAGCTTAGCTGGAGAGGGCAGCCCTGGATACCTGAGCTCATGAGTCCATTGCTATAGACTGGAGTTTGAGGGTTCGCTGCTTTGTGAAGCTGTAGGTGGTCTGGAAAAGCCCAGAACAGTGCCTTCTGCCCCACTTTCCTCCCCAAGGAACATTTTGCCTCAAGGCAACGCACATTTTGTATGCAGATGTAAACCTCTGGTAGGTGGGAGGCTAGAAGACAGCCCAGGACCCAATGCTGCCTTCCAGATGTCCTGCATTTGCCTTGCCTTGGCCCCTCGCCCAGACCTGTCCTTGTCTGAGGATGGGCTGGTCACAAGTTCCAGCTGGTACCGGAGCTGCCAGTTGAGGCCTGGAGCCCAGCTGCCAATCAGGGCTGCCATGCAGGGTGGACTATTCAAGCACTTCTCAAGCTTGGCAGACTGGCTGCCTTCCAGATAAGGCTCACTCTGCACCTTCTGGGGACGCTTGTGGTGCTCCTGTCCTGGAGGGAAAGAACGCTGGAGTCCTGGGACCCTGGGCATAGCTGTCACTCTGGTCCCTCTCCCAGTTCCTGGGATGGAGAGGTTGGGACGGCAGGGCGGGTAGGAGCCGGGAACAGTCAGGCCATTATTCTGCCCCGCAGCGCAGTTTCTCTCTGCTCCGTGCACAGAGTATGACAGAATACACAATTGGCCATTGGGAGGCACAAAGAACCCCTCTAAACATAGCCCACAGAGGGTTCTTGTGTGACCCTGATAGGCGTAAGTCCCTCCCTTTCCATGGCTCAGTCTCCACTAGGTTCTGAAATTCAAGCCATGGACCGCGTGGAGAAACCTCTCCTATCTCTTGTGCCAGCTCCACTGTGCCTTGAGGGGCACACAGAGGAGAGGAGTTGAGCCCCAGCCCCAGGTGCAAGCTTCATACCTCTGTCAGGCTACTGAGGACAGAGAGGTCTGGGGTCTCCCTAAAGCCACTGCAGGGGATTCTCACTGGGCAGTCAGACATGGCTGGGCCTCAGGCAGAAGGAGAAGCAGGGATAGGGAGGGATGGGCACTCAGGGCAGACTTCCTTCTCTTCTCTCTGCGCATGGCCCAGTAAGGCCAGGCCCTATTCCCACATCTGAGTGAAAGACTGTAGTGACCTGGTCCAAGACTGGGCAGGTCGCAGGTTGTCCAGGACACCTGGGGTCTGTTCTAGGTGAGAAGTGACCGTTAGAACTTACCACCTCTGCTCAGTTAGCCACTCCTTTGTTAAAGATAGCCTATTTTTGTTGGGACTTGGTGACCTCTGGGCTTGGCTTGCCTCTTCCTTGCTCCCAGGGCCTCTTGAGGGTACACTGTACACATGAGGTAAACAGCCCAGGCCTTGATACTCTTTTTTTTTTTTAATTCATTTATTATGCATACAACATTCCTTCCATGTATGCTTGCAGGCCAGAAGAGGGCACCAGATATCATTATAGATGGTTGTGAGCCACCATGTGGTTGCTGGGAATTGAACACAGGACCTCTGGAAGAGCAGTCAGTGCTCTTAACCTCTGAGCCATCTCTCCAGACCCCCAGGCCTTGACACTCTTAACTTACACGCACCCCTCACCATGGTCACAGGTTCACCTGTTGGTGGGCCTTGCCAGGGAGAGTGGACAGAAGCAGGCAGCCTGCATCCCCAGTGAATTTGTATTCGTCCTGGTAGACATTAAAGCTGTTTGAGAAGGCTGGGATGCAGGAGAGGAACAGGGCCTTGAATTCTGACACAGAGCCCTTAAGAACTACAGCTAGGAGGAGGAAAGCCACAGGCCCTCTAGAGCAGGAGACTGAACAAATGATTCGTTACAGTCAGGTCCAGCAGTCTCCTCATTGTGTATGGTAGGGGTGGAGAGTGGGGTGGAGGATGCGTTCTGGAACCAGGTGACCCATGAGAACTGTCCAAGTTGAGGATGTGGGGGTTGAGCTCTTAGATCCCAGCTCTGGGCTAGAGAGAGCCACTTCTTGAGCCAGGCATAGCCTGTAAGATCAACTTCCAGGTACAGAATCCCACTTTGCTTGCCATCTCCAGATACGTGGCACTGGGCAGTAGGAAGGGAGGCTTCAACAACCATGACAGTATCCTTCCACTCTCTTGACTTGGAAGCATGAAATGAGATATATTTAATATATAATATTATATACTTGTATGAAACTGTTTCTGGTGACTTATGCTTAGAATCCCAGCACTTGGGAGGTAGAGACAGGAAAACCTGGAGTTCAAGGTTATCCTTAACTATACAGCGAGTTCCAGGCCAGCCTTGGCTGCATGAGATACTCCCTTTGAGGTTCTTTAAGAATAAACAAACAAAAAGATAATAAATTTGTATGAAGTTTTGCTACTATTACTCTGTACTAAATGTTTTTTGTTTTCTTCCTAGTTGCTAACATGGCCTCCAGAAACATCTTCAAGAGCTTTTAGTCTCCTCTGGGATCTCAGCATAGACGGACTTTTCCGTCAGCCTGGTAAGTACCAGGGCACAGGGTAGGTCTGTACTGACATACTGGAGCCTGTCCCTCCACCCCACCCGACCCAGCGTGCTGGGGACATTGCGTCACTGTGATGGAGACATCAGACAGCACATCTTTGGCTCTGGCTCCAGTGTTAGGGACAAGCAGAGCCAACAGGCTCCTTGGGACCTCCACAGGCTGGGTCCAGTTCTCAGTGACCAAATCTAGGCCGACTTCACAGCCTCCTGGGATCTCCATACCATCCAGAAAGGTGAGTTTTGCCCCCAGGCAGTCTGGCTCAAAAGACAGCTTGTCATCCAGATTCTTCCAAGGACCTAGGAAGGAAAGCCGCAGTGCATCAGAGAAGCACTTTAGCCTGGCATCACCAGGAAGGAAGCCTCAGAACTGCCCCTCCACCCCCCGCCCCACCCCACCCCCAACAGCACCTTGAGTGACAGCCTCCGGTCTGTACCTTGGCCGTGGCATTTTGGGTATATTTGACTCAGCATTCCAGAGAAGCATTTCGTGTCCTGCTAGTGGCTACACCTTCCTCGGCTGTCATCATTTGGTACCTGAACCTAGACACTTTGGCACCAAAAAATATTATGTAAGCAGTTAGAAGTTGCTCACAGCTGGCAGGGAGAGGGCCTCTCAGAGGACTGTGCTCCGCCTTTGTCCAGCCATTACTCTCTACCCCAGAGCACGCAAACACACAGTTCTGAGGGCCAAGGTTGTAGCCCCTGGAACACCAGAGCCCCAGCCCTGTGAGTGTCTGTATTGTACTCCTCTGCTTCAGGAGTTGCCAAGCTGGGGCCATCTGTCAAATCAGGGCATTCCAGACACCCCCCTAGGCCCCTCACTAAGGGCTTCTGAGAAGCTACCAGGCCAAGCATGTTCTTCCTTTTCATAACCTCTGCCCCTGTGGCCTGTGTTGCCCTCTGCGGCCCCAGGGCCGCCTCTGCAGCATGCCTGCCCTTTCGGAAACAGAGGCCTTTCTTGTCCACCCTCTCCATGCTGAGGTATGTGTCTCCTCCACTCTGCTCGCCTTCCCTCCGGTCAGAAGGATACTGAGAAGCTCCCGAATTCCTGGTTCTCAGTTCTAGCTCCCCCGGCTACAGAATGTGTTCTCAGACATCACCTTTGAACCCAGACTGGGGTTCTGTCCCCTGCCAAATAGAATAGACCCTAGGCTAGAACATTCCCTGTCTGAGATCAGGATCCCCACTGATTTGGAGGAAGTCAGGCCTGATCTGCAAAAGAACTAATTTAAACAGGTATCTGCACACCTGTGTTCACCATAGCATTGTTAACAGACAAAAGGTAGAAGCAGCATACATGCCTGACAGATGAATAGACAAACAAAATATGGCATAGATGTCTATGAATTGTAATACATGTGTGTGTGTGTGTATGTGTGTGTGTGTGTGTGTGTATGTGTGTGTGTGTGTGTGTGTGTGTGATGGCCAGAATAGACATGCAGTGGAAGGAAGACAGTTCTGACATCTGCTGCAGTATAAACGAATCCTAGAGCCCCCGTGTGTTAACTGAGATGAACCAGTTGATCCCATTTGCATACAGTCCCTCAAGAAGGGGAAGTCACAGAATTGTAGCCCCCGGGGCTGAGGAGAGAGATGGGAGTTGTTCAGCAGGTTTTGGCTTGAGAAGCTGGGCAGCTGGGCAGCAATGCGAGGACAGTGGCCATTGCCCCTCACAGGCAGAGACGTTGAGGAGGGCTGCAAAGCCTCGTACCTGTTAAGCATGTTTGACTGCTCAGCTGAACCCAGCACAGGATGTATGCTAAAGGTTTATTTAGATCCAGGATGGCTACAAAAGAAGCTTTGCTCCTCAGGTTCACGTACAACCTGGGGGCCCTGGGGGCCTCTGTTAGCCCTAGGCAAAACTGCAGGACCGCCTGCCTTAACACCTGTCTTTTCCACATGCAAGTTCCTATTTCCTGGGGTGTGTGCTCACTGATGGCTCTTCTCTGACTGACTGTCCTGTGGAAGGTCTGATGGAGTGACTTTTATCTTTAGGACTTTTCTCCTAGCCCACTTCCTGAGTCAGTTTCAGCATGTTCTGTGGGAGTTAGAGACTTGAGCGCTCCAGTGCAGGCTGATGTATAAGAGGCAGGATGTATTGAGAAGCAGCTGGTGGTGAGCTTGGAGGGTGGAATATTCTGGAACATTACTAGTCTTTACCTCAGGGAATATCCACTATCCATTCACAGATGCCTGGAGGCCTCCTGCATTAGGGCCCAGCTGGATGGCAGAGGGACAGGATAACTCAGGCCAGCCCTCGTCCTCAGAAGACTAATGACCAAGGGAAGGGCATAGAGCATTTGATCACCTCTAGAAACTGCACAGGGTAGGATTGCACTCTCAGTTGCTTGGAGACCAAGTGAGCCCCAAATGGAGTGCCTGTCCTGTCTTTAGGGGCCACCTACACCAGTTGTGTTCCAGGCCAATGCATGACATCACACACAGCCTTCATGTTGTCAAGCCGTATTTTCATTAAACTGTACCTTGACTGTTAGTGGCATATGACAGGAAACTCCATACTCTGCTCTGTAGCATGAGCGTTCGAGTTTCTGTGGCTCCAAAATCACTGCCGTAGGATTGTCACGCATTCCATGTTCTCGTGAGACAGGGTTGAAAGCTGAAAAGAGAGAGATCAGTGATAAAACGCCTGCCTAAGAGGAAAGCCTGGGTTGGACCCCAGCACTCAAATTTTAAAAAGGCAAAGTTGAGGGGCTGGAGAGATGACTCAGAGGTTAAGGGCATTGCCTGTTCTTCCAAAGGTCCTGAGTTCAATTCCCAGCAACCACATGGTGGCTCACAACCATCTGTAATGAGGTCTGGTGCCCTCTTCTGGCCTGCAGGCAACAGACAGAATATTGTATACATAATAAATAAATAAATAAATAAATTAATAAATTAATTAATTAATTAATTAATTAAAGCACAGGCCACAAGACGAGGCTCCCACTTGCCTGCGTGTCTCTCGGTGTGTGCATTGTTTGCCTTCCTGACGCTGTGGCTAAATATCATGTCCACGACCGCCTCTGGAAGAGTGGTATTTGGACTTACGGTTCCAGAGAAATGAGTCTGTCATGGCAACAAGTGGCAAGCAATGGCAACAGGAAGCTGAGAGCTCACATTTCAACCCCAAGTGCAAAGCACAGCGGGAACTGTAAGTGGGTGAGGCCATGGACTCTCGAGCTCCTTTCCTGGTGACCGAAACAGAACTACCAACCCGCGATCAAGTGTCCAAATGCCTGCGCCTATAGGGACCGTTCCTCATTCAGACCATCACGTACACTCCCTTTCTTGATTTGTATGTGTGTGACCTCCACCACTAGTGGAGGTCAGAAGGCTGGCTACCTGTGGGAACTGGTTCTCCTCTCCCACCTTGTGGGCTCTGGAAATTAAACTTAAGTTTTCAGACTTGGTGACAAATGCCTTCACCCACTGAACCATCTTGCCAACCCACAATTTCCTTTTTTTGCCAGGACTTTTTTTTTTTCTGACAGGGTTTCTCTGTGTAACCCTGGCTATCCTGGAACTCGCTAAGTAGACCAGGCTGGCCTTGAACTCAGAAGCCTACTTCTGCTTCCCGAGTGCTAGGATTAAGGCACACACCGTGACACCCAGCCTACCAGGGCTTTTTGTTTATTTTATGTTTTTTGAGACATAGTCTTGATTTTTCCCAGAATGCACCCAGTCTGTCCTTTAAGTCACAGAGATCCACCTGCCTCTGGTTTGCTGGGGTTAAAGGCATGCACCACCACACCCAGCCTACCAGCACATTCTTTCCACCTTGTTTAGTGGTACAGAACTGGGCTTTGAAGGCTGCTTGCCATTTTCTGACTATCAGTATCCATCAAACATCTTGGCTGTGTATGAAGTTTTCAGTCTCACAAGTCTGACCCTCTAGAACAAAACCCAAGAAACCCATTTTTCCCGCCTCTTTTGAGATCCTCCTTTTTCTCTTCTTTCTTTTTTTAGAACGAGTCCCCAAACAGTCCAGAATAACAAGGCTCCCTGTTTACACAGCCATGCCATTGTGTTAACTGCTGAGGGGCTCCAGGGATGGTCGGAAGACCGTGAGGGATGTCGTACTAGGTACATGATTTGAAGACTCTGAGATGCGCAGTGTATGAGGCTTCCTTGAACTGCTGTGGTATTTTGTATAAGGGACCCAAGGAGCCTCGGATTTTTGGAGAGGGTCTTAGAACGAACCCCCAGGATTCCAGGGCGGCTATATTGTCTGACATATGTAACAGTAGCATGTATCTGCGCCTCTAATATCTGGTCATTTAGTTCCTTACATGGCAAAGTTGGCAGGGAAGTAACTGTTTAGACTATACAAAGAAACAGTGAGTGTTGAACCCTGGGAGGCTCAGTCTCCTAGATGTCCTTGGATCTCTTTCGGGAAATGCTTGTGATGACACAGGCACCCTGGTTCTGGCTAAATGGGCCTCCTCTCCGGGGCCTCTGGCAGGAAATAGCCAGAACTGCTTCTGCAGACTGTGGCTCAGAGACCTGGTTGCTGCCGAGGCCTCCTCTGGGCTCCTCTGCTAAGATACGGGACTGCCTACTGCTTACTCCTGGGGCAGACATGCTGTCCTAAACAGACAGCAGCACAAATGGTGCTCCCTTACCAAGGAAGAAGGGGTGTGGCTCTCAGTTGGAAGCCCAGAACCTGCTGCTGTCAAATCTGGACTTTTTCAAGTGTCCTTTCTGTCACTGTGATAAAACACTGACCAAAACAAATTGGGGGAGGGGAGTGTTTATTTGGCTTAATCTTCCGGGTCCCAGCCCAGCCCACCATTGAGGCAGGTCAGGGCAGAGAATCAAAGCAGGAGCCTGGTGCTTGCTGGCCGGCTATAGGCTCGCTCAGTGGTGCATGCTTAGCGAGCTCAGCCATCTCTGCTGCCTACCTACAGAATGCTTTGATCATTCCCACAGGAACTTTGTACCCACTGGCAGTCAGACCTTTCTCAGTGTGCCCTTCTC